GTTTAGGTATCTACAGCTTAAACTGCACGCGCTACATCGCTTGCGCGCGAGACACCCCTGAAGGTATACTGTAACCTTAAGTGCCCTCACTTGAGCAGTTGAGCTCAGTCCAAGCTGATAAATAACAAGAAAAGAGTTGACTTTCAGAGATACATGTAAGTATAGGAAGAGATGGCCATCACTCACCGGTTGTTGTCTTGCTATACCAGATGCTACTGTTGCAGGCATCTTTTGAAGCAGTTGCTATACAATGGATAACAACACAATAACGTCAAAATAAGAGACACTTAATATGCATGTAGTAATGCTTTGAGGGTCATATGATAGACTAGTCAAAGAAAAGTATAGTTCAGAAAACTTACCACGCTTATTGTCACCATTACAGGAGAGATCACAATATTATTTATAAAATAACTGAGCTACTACGCGCGCGCTCTGATTGGTCGATAGGTGTGTTTAAATGAGAGTATGTAAACACGGTTGTGACGTTTTAGATTCGCGCGTATTTTTGACAATTATTTTATAAAAGCAACAGAGCACTTTTTCCATGTTTACATAGCCTCATCTTAACACTTGGGGGCTGGGAGAATTCTCAAAAGTTGTCTCGCAAACTGACTCGAATTCTCCCAGCCATCCTCATGCTATGTAAACACGGTAAAAGTACCCAATTGCCTTTACCCTATTGCTTTCAAGCAATAGGGCACTTTTTTAAGTGTTTACATTGCATTGTAATTAAAATTACAAAATTAAGGACGGTGCCTACTAAATACAAAGGTTTTTGCGCCAGGTTAGGACCTTGCGGAAAAAGTAGATTTTTGCAGGGCTATCGGAATCCACAAAGAAAAAAGAGGGTAGCCACGCATTTTTTTCGAGATAATTAGCCTTGAATCTCAACAAATATGCTGACATCAGCATTTTTCTGAAAATAGAAGGAGAGGATATTTCTTCACAGCTTTCTTTAGAATTCGCAAGCTAAAATACAGTCTAAATATCTTTTGCTCACAACCAGAAACTAATCACCTGCTGAATAGGCTTGCCACCTATATTTCATTTTAAAGTTGTTGATCCTTTTTTGAACTTTTGTGGTACCTGTTACATTTCTTCCTGTCACCACCCCAGTAAGTAAAACATTTGTGTATCTCGCACTTGTTTTACGCGCGCACTACGCCATCTGTAGGTACATGTTTACAGTTGGATTTCAGTATAATTTTCGACAGATAACAGCTAGTTTTTCAGCTGGAAGACGTTAACAGTTAGTGGTTAGCGATATGCTGCTGCTCTGACGTTCCTGGTTTAAGTACAGGTTCATTAAACTTGATTTGGTCACAGTAGGAAAATTTTGCTTCCAATTTAGTCGTGTACTCGGTAGCGTAGTTGATTGCGTCATGTCAACCCAGCGCGCGCGTGGCGCTTAAACCATGCCCTGCGTGATGCGCAAAACGTGTGGGCACTAACAAAAGTAGGCACCGTCCTTAATACATGTGATAGAATCCAAGCAGTTCCCCTTTCGTTTGGTGCATTGAGCGTGACCGTCACGCACGAAGGACTACGCAAAAAAAGGGACCACTCGTAGTCTAGAAATGTGATTGTACAGTACAGTATAGGCTACACTATGCCTACACTACAACTTGAATAGCAAACTAACCTGTTGTTTTGTCAGGAATGTTTGCTCGTCCTCTGCAAGAATTTCTTTGTCTTGTATTGGCTGTGAAATGAAATAGCAAACGTCAGTCACCAGTAAATAAAATGTACCACTTAAATTATAGCAGAAAACACTTACGATGTTTTTGATAACTCGAAAAGTCCTTGTATTAACACTATGTGTATCTACATTGTACAGCAATCTTTTAATCCTATATTAACCTTAATCAGCCTTCACGTAGCATATAAATAAATCTAAGAACGTAACAACAGGGCTGTGCACTAGAAACGCCCGAGTGCCATAGGCACCTAACTTTTGCCTTTGGGCAACTCGAAAGACTGACTTTTTTCACATAAACTTAAGAACAGGGCACCCAGGATTTCATTTTTAGGAACCTTTGGGCTCCTCGTAATTTTTCTTAGACCACAGCCTTGAACAATATGCAGACCTCTTCTCAGTTTTTTTTTCCAACGCATTATTTTCTTCATCCAGACACTAAAGACAAACCAGTGCATTTCCCAAAATACTTGATAATAATTTCAAGGGGTACATGTAAGATGTACCTATTGGAATGTGGGCACTTATTAAGAAACAGCACTGGTGGTGAGAGCTTGTTAGGAACGGGACACTTATTGGAAGGAGCACATTAAGTCCAATTATTAAGACAGATGACAAAGATTTCACTTTGCAATTCAGTACTTGTCACAGTCTGGTAAAAATTCCAGACTTTTTTTCATTTTTTCCACACAAAATCTCTATTTTTCTTCCTTTATTCAGATCTACAAACTACTTAATTTTACTTATCATATCTGTCAGTTACTATGCACACTGAGATTGGTCAATTAAGCAAGCTGCATTTTACTGTACGGCCTGCTAAAATCTAAAGCTGTTTTTATTGCCAAAGTGTTTTGTGATTCATCGCCAAGTGCTTACTGTAAAAGTTTAAAACTGTCTTTTACCAGCACTTCAAATTGTGAAGTCAAATGTGCTAACGACTTAACAACGATTTCAAGTTGACTTGTTTTGCTTTCAACGTTCTACATGGAAAGAAATCATTCCTGAGCCTACCAGACACACAATAAAAATATAACAAATACCTTACCAGCCTCGTCTTCTTGGTCCCTACAGGACATGTAAGACAAGTTACAGATCCCCACTTTTTTCCTCTTTGATTTGTGGCACGCACGCTTCAGGTTGGGCCAGAAATCAAAGGGAAAAAAATTAAACTGTAACTTACAGTACAGTGAAGAAGACGAAGTTAGTAAGAGGTACATGTATAGATTTCCATACAGTACTATCTGAAGACTACAGACTCTGTACACCCCTGCTCCTGACTGATGTTATTTAACGTTACCTTTCTCAACTGTGGTTTAACGATGTGATCATCAAATGCATCCTCAGGCTGGATTGCTTTTAAGTGTTCGCTCAGAATGTTGATTTTCTTTATAGAATCCCATCCTGCTGGGCTGTAACGAAAACGGCATTGAAATGTTAGATTGCACATTTAAATATTCTTGCATAAAAAGTTTGTAATTACAGTAGAGCTCAAAAAGTAACGAATTTCGCAGGTGCAGTCTGTACCCATGGGCGTTTTACACATTGATCTTAATAATAAATATGATTGCATGACCAGTTCATATTTGTCTTTAATATTCACTTGCAGTAGTTGCCTTTATAATACAGCACTGCCATGTTCCAGCTATGTTTTTGGAGCAGGGAGTCACACCATTTATCAGGCAGGTCCCCAAGGATGGGTTGGCCCAGCTGGTGCAGCCGTCGTGTAGGAAGAGGAGGATCAGGGAGGGAGGTCACCCTTTTCTGTAATGAAGGGGCCTTGGGCACTCCCCCTGGAAATTTCTAGAGTTTCAATGTTTCATGCAGCTCTTTCAAAGCTCTTTCAGTAATTTATTTCGGGTTATCAAAATGGCAAAATAGCAAATAAACTATTATTTGTTTATAGTTTGCACACCTACACTGTAAAAATTGGTTATTACATGTAATAGTCACCCAGATTGTTGATTAGTACAGTCATGTAGAAAACTTATTGATTAGAAGCACAAAGAAACAAACCAAGAACTCAAAGCCAGAACATGCCAAGTGCAATCCCTAGGAAATCAGGGCTGTGTTCTAGAAGCGCAGGGTACCACAGGCACCTAACTTTTATCTTTGTGCAACTGAAAAAACTTACATTTTTACTTATATGGTTCTCTTAGCCCAAAGCCTTGAAAATGCACAGAAAGATTTCACTTTAAAAAATAATACTTCCTTGATAGTTACATGTACATACAAAACATCATTCCTCCTACTGAAAATTGTACATTGTATAGAGAGTTGCAAAGGAAGTGTTGTGTTCCCATTTCACACTTAAATTTTTAATTAACAAAATTCACACATCTCAGATGCTCTTGAATGTTTTTTTCCCCTTTAAATGTGCAAATCATGTGCATTTCTATGTCTTTTAAATGCTTTTCACGTGTCACACAATGATTTTTGCCTTCATCACGTGTCACAAACAAACCCTTTGCCATCCTCTGTATGAACGGGACTGTCTTTAAGTTCCGAGTCACCCGTAGCCTTGTTCTCCACACCCATAGCAAACTTGTTATTTTGTGAGTGAATTCTACCAACAACAGGCAACCTCATCCATAGCGTCCAGGGAAAATCAAGCGTACATATACTCAGCCATAACAGGTGTTAAAGGTTACAGCCCTTAATGACAGCCCTGATGACTACTGTTGAGCTAACAAAATAATGTCCCTACCAGTTACATGTACAGAGACATTTAAACAAAATTTTTGTATAAAACATTATTTTTACTCACTCCAGACCAAATATTTACTTACATGAACACTGAATCCTTCTCCACAACCAGGGCAGGACTATTGAATGGCAGACCGTATATTTGATGAACTAAATATCTGTATAATATACTACAGTTCTTATTCTCTTTGACAGATGTGTAGAACAAGGTGGCACCATCTAACATGTGTCAAGGAAGACAAGCAACAACAAGAAAATATGAGAATGATTTTAATCAGTCAGTGATGCAAATTGCAAATTGTGACACAAATTTGTGACACACATTATTTTTGCAGGTGTACAAGTAAATCTGCATCAAGGATTTGAGATAAAACAATGTCAACTTATTTTTCACTGAATCACATTGTGCATGAGCTTAAACAAGGCTCAAAAAAAGTGCCATCTGGTTGTCTGAGACAAGTAGATTTTCCTTTTGAGCATGCACTTTTTGTAAATCTAGGAATTGTAATCTAAACATTTTAATCGTAATTTTAAATTTTTAGCAAAGTTAAATTTAAATACACGACCCCACAAGCTTTTAGCTTNTATTATCGTGTTTAAATAAAGTTTATCTATCTATCTATCTATTCTCACTTGCCCAAAGGGCAAGACAAGTCATCTGCAAACTAAATCATTAAAATCTAACAAACTAAGACTTGTCCAAGGCAAGCTGGAATTCATTTTTTTCCAAGCCCTGCTTAAAGCTAACTTGGAACACTATGCCCCACTGGCTATGAACTTGCAAATATCTCAATTTTGCAAACATGTCTCACACTGTACATGTAAATTCTATAACATACATGTACAAAGACATGCTTTTAAGACTTGCCCACAAGACAAGTTGTGAAAAGCCAGGCTCAGAGAGCAGAAAATGTCTACGTACCTGTAAAAGCTGTAAACTGGGCACATCGCATGAGAAGCGACATGCCCATGTGTAAAGCAGAGAGAAGCCACCATTTTTCACATGTGCCTTCTACTGTACACAGTAAGAAGTCTGCAATTACCAACAATCACCCTGTATGGTACATCCATGCATGTAAATTTTGCGTACCCTCTTTGATCAATGTCAAATTCAACTTTCAGTTGTTGCATTGGGAAAATGAGGAGGCCATCATATTTATACAATATGTACAGTGTACATTTATATTGCAAAATTCATGTCCTGCTGGGAAGTGGCAAATTAGGAAAATACATGTAGATACTATGGGATGAGGAGAATGATCAGTATGATTAGTATGCCACCTGTTGTAGGTTGCTTGCTAAAAAAGGCTTACAAAGGGGGGTCATGGGCACCCCAGGACCCCCCCCCCCCAGCTCAACCCCTAAATATTGTCTTGTAATTAGTGTACTTGTACTATGTAGCATACTGTAAGATGGTCGTCTGTAATGTGTAGATTGAATGCGTAGGAACATACTCTGTAGACTGTTTTTTGTTTTTTTTGTAACTCTAGTGTAAACTTAATTGTAATAGTTGTGATTAAGAACAATATTTAACAGCTTTACATGTACATGCCCGTCACTTTATAATTGCAGGACCATACTACATGGGTTTGTACAACATTTTTCCATGTTGCATGTTTTACAGTTAAGTACATGTATCATGGATACACTTTAGGCAGTGCCTTCTTATGTGCTGTTGAATAAAATCAAAGTGTTCTTCCTTGTAATCTCTGTCTTTTTCAAGTGCAGACATGCAGTCCGACTGAAACAAAATAACAAACAAGCCTTTATTAGTTCAATCTACAATACTTCCAAAGTGTAATCTACAGACAGTACCAGACATTTTTCTTCAAAAGAAAACATGTACTACTGTAAAACTGCAGGATGTAAAGAAAATAAGGATTTCCCAGGTTGCATTTAGGGGCAAGTTGAAAGCATTGTGTGCTAGGTCAAAGACCATTCTGAGTGGACTTAGATGTGCATGTTCTTCAACTGCCAACCCAGAAGTCCAAGGATACTGTACAAGTATTCATGTATACTTAAATACAGTACATACATTTACCCATCTGGTAAGTGATGAGTACAATCCAGTGGCCCAAAAGAAAACGAAGTGCAAATCAATAAAAACAATTACGTAACGATGCTTTTCATGTCAAAACAAGTCAGTCTGCCAAAAATTAGTTTGATCCTGCAAAAAATAAAAATCGGCCCAAAATGCTATATACACCCTTTTTGCACGAAAGCCTGTAATTAAATTAACTACTTTATGAACATGTGTAGTTCTGGACTATCTTTAGCAGACAGGACTTTCATTACATACTGCTGGGCAAATTTAGAGCCGTAAAGAAATTTTGGTTGAATTGCTTAGAAAGAGAAACATACTGAGACCAAACCATTAACAAAAAACCAGTTTTGCTTGAAGCTTTCTTTTACGACTGGAATCAATCAGGTTGGGTTTGCTGTTGTTGTTGTTGTTGTTTAGTTGTTGTTGTTGTTGTTGCTGTTTTTTGTGAACGTGCATTTACCAGAAAATCTAATGTTGGTTTCCATAGTTGAAAACAATTATTGTTGAATGCTGTATACTGTCTAAATATATAAATAAAGTGTCTATTGTTCAAAAGATAAAATTACATATCTTATGTTACATTTAAATATAACAATGTTAATGGGCTACAATACGTCTCTAAATAAGATAGATATTTACATAGAAACAAATACAAAAATCGAATACAAAAAGTACACTATTTACAAAGCTACATTGTACTTAAAAACTATCCTATTAAAGAATGTATTCTTGAAACGGTCCGAGTGAATGGCAGGCATTGCGGAAGATTTATTCCTTAAGTTGTATCTTGTAATCTTAGTCTCAGGGAAATTAGCTCTAAGAGGGTGGTTCGGGATATTAGAAACCTTCC